GCCAGGTTAGGTTGGTGGTGGGAAAGAGAAGGGAGTTGGGAAAGTTGTGGGTATGGGGGTTGTAAGAAGGACACGAAGAGGAAGTCGTGCGTGGAAGCACGTACAGGGGAAAGTAAGTTGCTCCCACTGTGCAGGTAGGCTGAGAAATTGTAAGTAGCTATCTCTAAATCTACTTGTTAGTGGAATGTATCTGTGTTCATGGCTTAGGTGGAAGCTTTTAATGATGTGCTGTTGTCACAACATCGGGGTGTGCCTCCAATGTTTATTTGGTCAGGCTGGCTTGGGATATAAGGAAATTTAGATAGTATTCCAATTAAAAAATCAATCCCTTTTGGTAGTGTAATTCTAGGCACTGGTTCCAATAGTAAACCTGGGTTCTGGGCCAGTAACTCAATCCAGTTACTTAAAAACAGAATCAGAGATTTATTTATAAAAGAATAACATTTATAGAAACATACGAGTAAGGGAAAGGGTGTGTACACTGAAACAAAGACAAACATAAGAAACCTGACTCTCTAGCCACTAACACTGACCCTGTGCTTCCCAGCAGCACTGACGTATAAGCAGACGTACTGAAGAGAGTGACAACCTCTTTCTCCATGTTCACAAACTCTTCATGCAGACATTTCTTCTCTGACATTCTCTGGCCCCGGTCACACGGGGGGGGGGTAGCACGGCCAATACGCGGCTTTTCTGAGCCGCAGCAATATAGATGCACGGTGGCGGGATCAGACAGATCCCCCTAGCCGCCGCGCAGTTGCTCCCCGGCACGATCAGATGCCAGGGGAGAAGCCACGGGACGGAGAGCAAGGCAGCCAGCTGCGCATGTGCGCGCATGCGCAGTTTGGCCAGGAGCCTCGAATGCTGCGGAAGACGGCCGCCCTTGCTGCGGAGCTTCAGGTAGGTATTGCTCTTTTCTAGGTTCTTTTTTGCTGCACGTTTTCCGCCGGAAAGGACGGATCGGGGACGGGTGCGCTCTGCTTCCCAGATGTTGCGGTGTGATCGTGCCCATTTGATGCGCCCCCAATCTGTCCCTCTTGCGGGGCAAAACCTCCCATGTGACGGGGGCCTCTGATGTCCTTCTGTGTGAATATCCTTACATCATCCTTTGGTAGTGCCTGACTCCTGGCTTTATCCCAGCTCAGTGGTCTGTTCTTGATTGACTGACCAGTCACAGGGATTAGCCAATTGATCTAGATCTTGAACTGTCAAGATCGTCTGCTGTCAAGCAGTTACTTTGACAGCTCACAGCTGGCCACTATCAAGCTAACTAGTAACTACTGCAGGTGCTCATTAGTAAGGTACACTGTAGCTTGGAAACAATCCAGACAGAATTTAGGGATTAACAATTCTGTAGAAATGTAGGTCGCCTCTTGGTCTGGCTAACCACTCCTTCTGGAACTGATGTAGATTTCTCTCTCTAAAGCCATGTCTGTTCCAACAAAGCAAAGAGTGGGGCAGTTCGTAAAGAACAACAGGAACAGGTAGCTGCTGATCCCTTCCTCTGCCTGTTCTTTTCATAGTCTTTCCTCTTCAGACACTTTTCTCCAGCTGGGTTGACTTCTAGAATTGGAGCCTGGATGAAGAAAAAGTGGCATTGGGGAAAAGACTGCA